AAGAGAAATTAGTAGTATAAAACATTAAAACAAGGCAAAACAGGATAACAAGTATATGAGATCAAAGGTCAAGATAAAATTAATATAACATACTAAAAGTTAGGATCATAAAATAATAAAGATTAGGAGTTAACAATATCCAAGGTAAATAGAACATCTCTGAGATGTAAAAAGCACCTACAAAGTATAAGATGAGCTATTTGGGGGAAAAAATCGTCACATTTTATACCAAAAAAGTGATGAAAAATTTGATATGAAATTATCAGCACTGCTAATAATCAAACACATTTCCAGTGATACCAACTATATTTACAATCAAGGCATCATAATCTGTATAAACCTGATTTAATTCAAAGCATGAACGATAGAACTGTAGTCAAATCTGAAACATTTTATACTAAAAATAGCATGCTACATGTCTTCACTCCTCCCTAGACTACAGGTCCCAGAGCTTTCGGGGACAGCTGCGAATCCAAAATAGATGCAATTGTTTCCCACATATGTCATCCCATGCCCCATATTCCTCATTTTTTCGCAGCCAGTGAGTTGATACGGGGATAATTCATATCTACAGCATAATAGGATCCAGTGTTTGTGCTGACAACACTGCAGTGTCAGCGGCTCGCAATGCAACAAGAGCTGCAATCATTAAACAATGCTACGAAAAATCTCATATAAATATTTTAGCAGTTTCACAAATATACAAGATGTCAGCATATGCATGCTGGTTGACTAATCCTATATGTTTTGTGTTTTTTTTTAGTTTATTAAATTAAAACAGCTAATGATCTCTGAACACTGCGTTGTGAATTGTGAATTAGGGGACTCAATGCAAAGCTATTTGTTGAGCTATGTATGCATTGTGTTTAAACCAAAATGCTCAGTGTAAACAGGATATACAGCAGACTGCACATGGAAATGTCATTATATATCCCACCTAGAATTAAAACTGTGCTTTTCTGTTGGATTAATATGAACCTACTCTAGCACACAATTTGCAGCAAGTATTTCATTAAGAACATTACCATAATAGAGGCTGAATTTGTAATTTTCAATAGCTACAAGATGAGGTAATAATGCAGAATCCATGTTGCGGATGTTCTTCTTTAGTGGCGAAAATTTCCTAGAAAACTTGCTGTTAATCAAATTGCCAAAAACAGCTGACATGCAGTGAAGCTGGAGCTTTTGCAGCCCCTGGGAAGATATCCATATGTTTATAACAATGTAAGATAGTTAATGCTTTGCTGCACCATCAATAAGCACGAATGCATGACCAAACACACTGACAAGAAGAAAGATTACAGTCGGATGCAAGCATGCCTTGTATCTTCTATTTCTACCATCATCTGTACCGTTCTTGAGCCTGTAGTGAATATAAGCAGTTAAATGTATTTGTAAGCCATCCGATACATCTTGATTACCTGCATAACTCTCACTCTTACATGCTATTAACAAAACAGTGTGCTTACATGTGCAAATTACAGATTCTGCCCGTGCCAGCCTGATGGTGGCATGAGGACAGTAACCCACTGCCCCATATGTAGCTCCATCTCGCCCACACAGAGGACAGAAGGAAGAAATGAACAATGACCCAGTTCCTCCACTCAAATGGAACCGTGGTATCCAGTCAACTATATGATCATCTTTGCAACAGCAGTGGAAATATCAACCTTTATGTTGCAAATTGAGCAGCAGTTTTAGCCCAGTTCATTTGAAGGCCAGCTGCACATGGAAAAAAACATCAGATAAAATCATCAGTCAGTGATCTGATTTGTATTTCTATAATAACACAGGTCAGATGGTTAAGTCCCAGGATGGAGAAGTAATTGCACTGATGATGTTTTTATGGGAAAAATACAGGCAAGAGGCACCATCTCACCAACATGACAATGACATTAAATGTCCATATAATTGTCACAGCCCATAAACAAAGCACATGTAATCTGTCCACTGAGGCGCACTCATCATTAGACACTAAGCACCCCGAGGTCTTGAGGGAGGCAAACAGCTGCATCAGAGCTTTAGCAGGTCAGAGCTGAAAGTGCTGGATCCCTATGCATTATTAATAGTGTCTGTGCTAATTGAAAGTCATAACTCCGCAAATGAAACGTCTGGAGCAGACATCACGCCTTGTTGCCCTGCTGTCAGTGGATCCCCGTAGATGGAGACGCGCCTATTTTTAGATTTTCTCTTGATCCCAAATGCAGTTGGGTTTTGTAAGTTACATTGTGTGACGACAGGTCGAACAATGGCAGGACAGCTGCTGTGTCGCTGCATGGAGCGGCTGTTACATAACGTAGGCAATGAGCTTTGACTTCAGTCTTTGCTTTGTTATTTTTCTCAGTAAACCTGCAGTTTTGGGACATTTTTAGGTTAGAAAAATTGTATTTGTAGTATGATATGATCAAGTCACCTAAGCTCCTGCACATTTGCTCTCTTTACATCTCTTACAAGTAATGTAATGTGCTTCCTCTCATGTCGCCAAGTAAATGTTGCAAAACTAAACATCTTATTAATATGCATAAAGGGTGAGTGAGTGTGTGCATGTGTGTGTCAAAAATTATTTATAGGTTGTGTCTAATGGCTTTACCAATGATTAATAAATCAATAATAAGTGAATAAACTAATTCATACATTCTTCATTCTGTACAGAACAATTAAGAAAATGAATTAAAATAAATCTTTTTGACTGGTTGGGCTTTTTGAGCAGCTGATGAGAATCTAAATCTAAGTATTAAGCTCTTTTGAACACTTATAGCTGCAATATATTACTTATTGGAAAATCAACATTTATGACAAAAGATGTTGAGTTGGCTTATTAATGTTTGAACTGTATTTTTTTACAACATAAAAAGATTTGTAACAACCACCCCAAAATGTGTTGTTATGCTTTATTAACCTTTAATAAAGTCATTAGTTACAGAATGGAAAGTGGTATCATGGAACATTACGACAGAGTAATGCGACAAGCCCACTGCTGAGAAACTGATACGTGCTTTGTCGGATTGCTGCATCATCACTGTAGTAATTTTACTCGTTGGATGCGTATGTGTGCATGAGAGAGTGCGTGTGCATGTTTAGTCAGAGTGTTTTGGAAACAGCCGGCTGTAATTCAGGACATGTGAAATGTCCTCAAATATACTCAGCGGTTAAATATACTGTCGGCAGGATAATTATGTAAAAGGAGGATACGTGCACGACACAGGGCACAGTGGTGCACAGGCGTTCACTTTTTTTTTTTTTTATTGTACTTTGTCATATTTGTCTGACAAATAATAACTGCAGGTTAAGATTTCCAAAACTTTTAATGAGCATTTAAAATGTTACATTAATGAAACCAGCGTACTCAAATGTTCATGAATCAGTCATAACATACTAATAGTATTATTCATAGTTACCTCCATTGTGGCTACTATTACTCTACTTTATGTACATTTTGTTAATAGTACTGCAATTACGAATGCAGGGCTTTCACTTAAATAAGATGTTTTCACACTGTGGTTTAGATATTTTACTTAAGCAAAGAATCTGCACAGTTCTTCTACCAGACTGAGGATCTTTGTGTCTGAGCAGGATCTAAAAAAAACTTATTCAAGCTTTTATTACTTGAAGAATGGACTACTGTAACACTGTCCTTTCTGGCCTGCAGTACAGTAAGACCATTAGAGGACATTTGCAGCTCATTCAAAATGCTGCTGCTAGAATATTGACAAGTACCGAGAAGAAAGAACACATTTCTAAGATTCGTAGCTTCTTGCACCATCTTTTAGTGAAGTATATACCTGAATTTAAGGCACTAGTTGTTGTCTGTAACTCTCTGAACGGTCTGGACTAAAAATACATTGTAGGAACTGGTCAGCTAATGGTGCCCAGAGTGTAGGCCAGACTAGGAAATGGCATTTAGTAACTGCTGGGACCAGCTTCTCTTGGAGCTCAGTTTTGTAATGTAACCACTATTAAGTGATCTAAAGTAAAATTCTTTTCTCCACTGCTTTTGTTTTTTACTTTATTTTACTTTTTTTTATAAAAAAAAACAACAACAACAACAACAACAACAACTCAGGTTTAAGCTGCCAGTACTCTCATTCTGCATTTTTTAAATGTCTGATCTTGTGTTTTTTTCGGCTGTGTTGGTGAATCAGTTTGAGTTATTCTAAAAAATGTGCATGTGTACTTTGTTCTACTTGTCTGTACAGTTTTTTTTTTTTTTTTTTAAAGTAAGGAAAATTAATTCAATGTATATCTGTACATATGCATGTCATAGACTTGCTTTTAATGATGGCGTCTGTTTTATCTATTTATTTTGTTCTTTATTTACTATTTATTTATTTATTGTTCTGTTATTATTATTATCATTTAATTTGATGTGGCATTTTTTGTGCTTTTTATTATTTTTTCAGTCTTGTTGTATTAATATATTTTGTAATTTTTAAAATTTTTTTTATTTTTTTTTTTACCATGTTTAATTTAACTTCTCCCCTGCTGCTCTTCTAACTTTTTTAAAAGTTTTTTTTAAACAGTTTAACCTGAACTGCCTTCCTGAGTATTGTTCCTTCCCCCTCCACCCCCGTAAAATACCCTGTTATTATATAAATACAGTTTTTGTGATTATTATTATCATTATTATTATTGCACTATTGTAAAACATGTTACAATATGTGACCTTTGCCCTTTGCACTTTATGTAACAACCTCTGTGTATGTTAAGATGCCATATAAATAAACTTTCTTGCTACCACTAATAATGCTTAATTTATTTAATATTTATTTTAATCTAATCTGTTGTCCCTCAGATTTATTAAAAAAAACTTTCAAGCTGCATCCACGGTGGCATTCATTTAGTATAGTTGTGGTTTACAATAGTTGTGAGTTTTCTGCATGTTGATGTGATTTTTTTTTTTTTTTTTTCTAATAGTGCAGCTATATTCCAGGAGATGCGAGAAACGCCAGTGCGCATGCGTAGCGTAGTCATCTGACGGCTGTGGACGCTTCGCAGCAGCAGCAGCAGCAGCAGCAGCTACATCGAGGGCCACCGCTGAGAACACGGAGCGGGACACAGGCAGCCTCCATGAGGGACCATCTCCTGCACGAATAGAAGCGACTCTGCAAAGAGAGAACCCAGCAAACCAGCAACAAAAAAAAGGGAAGGGGGATTTTTTTGGTTGGTTTGCAAGCAGCAAAATTTCCTCCCTGAAATGTAGCCAGCGGAGTGAGTGCAGGGTTTGTTGCGATCGCTCGGTGGCTGCCTGGCTCTTCACCAGGGATGCCATGAAAATCAGAGCAGGCGAGTGACTGAGAGACCCGCTGCTCCTCGCTATCACAGACACGGCGGCTGGTGGCGGTGGCGGCGGCGGCGAAGCAGCGATGGATGCTGGTAGAAAGATCCACATTAGGTAGCGTCTACGAAGATCCAGGGAGAGCTGAACGTCTCTGTCGCGCAGTTTAGTCGCCGCCGGAGCTGTCTACAGGATGGATTTCACCCTGCTCCGGAACATCATCAGCAGATACGTAAGGGCCCCTGTCAACACTGTCACAACTGTAGCTGCAAAAGTGCAACACAATGTGTATGAATTGCATCCTTCTGTTGTGTGCTTGTCCTGCAGGGTGATAAATACTTGTGCAATGATAAACATTTCACTAGAGCTGTTTGGCTGAGGCTGTGGATGCTGGACTGTGGGCTTCACAATGTTTTTTGTAGAGCTGAATGGAGAATGTGCCAGTGGCTACAGATGCAGTGATGGCCGGTGAATGTGTGGAATAGAAATGAACTTGGCTGGCCTATTTAAGTGAGTCACAACATGCATGCATACTAAACCATCTCTGGTCTGCAGAGGGAATAAATCCCAATTAGGACTGGAGAGGCCTCATAGGCGCTCGTCACACTTTGCAGCAGGAGTGAACTGGAGCAGCCTGATGGAAGTTGTGCAGGTTTTTTTTTTTTGAGAGGAGCTGGCAAAGGGTGCATAGAGTTTGTCTGTGAGCAGGAGATGTCCACGTAATAATGCTGAGTTGTAGCCGTATCACTGCCATCTGATTATCCAGCAGGGGCAGGAAGCATCTGGTTTGGAGTTAAAAGTGAACCAACTCTGACAGGACTCGTCAGACTGGGGCACCTCTGGAGTACTGACACATCTGCAAAACACACCGTGACCCCTTCGCCCGACCTTAAAACCGGCTCAGGTGCTGCGAATATAACAAGCGGTATTTTGAGCGATCTGAGCTTACAAATTAGCGTGCAGGCGACTGACAGTGTGTAGGGAGCTTGACGGATGCTCCAGTAGGGCTAATATCAGGGGAAATCAGATCCACGAGTGAGGCAGGGAGGAGGAGGAGGAGGAGGACGGCTCATAGGACAAGCCCATCATCTCTCACCCCTTTGCATCCTCACTCTGCAAGCAGACAAGGAATTAATCATTAATTCAATTATCCGCATATTGATTCAGAATCGGAGGGATGGATGATGTATATCAGGGCCTCTTATTGCTTGTGTATCACCTCCTATTAACCCAGCCATATTCTGAACAGCTGCTCCCGTAATGAGGCTACATAGTAGAACAAACATTACATCATGCAAGGTGATTAACGTGCGATGAGCGGGGCAAGTCCGAGGCCTTTTCTCCGGGCAGAGAGAGCGGTGCACTCCCATCAAGGTCACTGCCCACATGTAGCCGGCTTCCAATCCTTTAATGAATCTGTTAACACACACACACACACTCACACACAAAAAAAACAGCAACAACACCAAAGTAGTAAATCTTCTTCAGCCATTAAAGCGTGCACCTCTGATTTAGTCCGCTTCACTCCACTCCACAGCTTATGAGCCTTTCACTTGGTGTCTTGTTTCTTTATTATCACCCTGGCACTGACTTATGACTTGTCCTTGAAGTGTTTTTTGTCTGTGTTAGGGAAATTAGAGTTTTTAAGTTCTCTCGCACTGCCTGGATTTGATTCGGTTTGTGGAGCACACTGCAAAACTGTACGACATGTGAGTCTAACACAGACTTATTTCCATTGTTTTGGTTTGTGTCTGTGCTTTACAACAACCTGCATCCAGACAGAGAGTGTCGGTCAGTGTCTGACATTTAAAAAAAGCAAGTAAAACACTATAAAATTAAATCATCTGGACACTTTACATTTTTAAAAGAGCAAACTGGTTAGAAAGTGTAAAAAAAAAAAGATCATAGTTTAGATAGGTTGCTATCAGCTGTGTTCAAACTCGATCAGATGCCTTAGTCTTCACCTTGACTATTGGTGTGCAAACTGTGTCGCCTGACGTGCTTGAATAAGTTATTACATGCAGTTATGCAGAACTATCCACTACAGCATTTCATAATTAGAAGAAAGTCGGTGCTCTGCTTGTGCTCCTCTTTTACGACTGAAAAACTGCAGGTAGATGGAGCCCATAGTGCAGCAAATAGCAAAGAAAAACATGCTGTCACGGTGTTTTGCAGCGCGTGAAGTTTAAATGGGACATTTTGTTGCGTAATAACCTAAGTCTGTCGAACTTTTTTTTCATCCTGCTGGCGTAAAAGAATGGCTAAGCCCTCGTGCAATAAGATGTAAGAGGTGCGTGCTCACTGTTTCTGGTATGTTAGAAGGATGCTGGGTGAGGACGTGGCAGGAAGAAATTTTTATTTATAATTAGATTTGTCTGTAAAAGGCCCTCCTGGGCTTTGAATGGATCCTGTTTAGTATCAGTGCATGTGTTACATGTGTCCACTTGCCTGTCTTCGGTGCCCTTCTCTCATCTGGTAATAATAGCGATGGCGTGATGGCGTGAGGTCATGATCTTGGTTAAGAAGGATGCTGGTATGTGTGGGTGTTGGTCATATTAAAAATAAGAAAAATAGCAGGTGCCATGTAAGAACACTTCTATTCCCCCTTTCATATAAGCCTGTAGCAAAAATTCAGATTCATATCTGCATTATGCCGTGTTTTCTCCTGTATTCAGCTTTATTTACCCTTGTCCCCCTTTATCTTGACCCTCCTTTACTCCTTATCTCTGAATGCACAACTGTTATTCTTCTGGAGACCTCTCACAATATCAGCAGATAAAAGAGAAAGGCCAAGCGATGTCTCCCTTTGATCAAAAAGGTGCCAGCAGGGCCTGGCGTGCTGAGGGGCTTAAGTAGGGTTTCTAGCAACTTTACAGCTCTTCCAGTTTCCCTTCCCTCCCCATCCGGCTGCTGTTGAAAGGATGAAACACAGCCTGCTACATTACTGTTTTTGCCACGTTAGTTCTCACTGCTGCAAACGGTTAAGGGCAATCTATTCCTGTCCTCTTTCCCCCCCCTTGGAGATGGGGCCCTGGCGGAGAGACAGCGTCTGTAGGTGACAAAAACACACAGGATTTGTGTTTGGGCTGAGCTTCGCCCGCCGGCCTGTTGTGTATATCAGAGAAGACAGCCGTACATCTACCCGCGTGCTGCTGACTCATAAGAGTGATTTTTTTAAATTCCCGCAGCATTGCCCGAAGACAAAGTTTTCATTATAAGACGCCGTTTCGAGCCTATATTAGCAGGACAATGTTAAATGCAGATTAAAAAAAACGAGTGTGTGTGTGTGTGTTTTTTGTTGTTTTTAAAGCATGCAGATTACGGTGGCAGGAGAAAAAGAAGAGACGAGAGAGAGGGAGGGGGAGAGGAGAAGTAGCACAGCTGGATTAAAGACTTATGTAACTGTTGGATCACAGCGAGTCAAGTGGGAGAGGAAGCTGGGACAACAACAGAATACAAATTCTGTCATTTTAAAGTAATCTTCTCGTATTTATCCTTCGATTTTGTGGCAGGTAAACAGTTGTTTGCGTCATTGGGCATCTGGTGGCTTTTGTCGCTAGTGTATGAGATGGTATGAGCAAACTTCAAGGTGGTATTTTTACCCTATGTTCTGGTGTTTTCTAGAGGTGATTAATTCCAAATATTATTCTCTAATAAATATCATAACAGCTCATGCCACTCGCTTTCCCCATGAGCTTTACTCCCCCATCCTATTTTATCAGTTTCTTCCTCAGTTTTGCTTTTGATGTTTACTCTTTCATTTTATTTTGCTCTAAGAAAATGTTTTCCACAGAGAGCAGAGTGTACTAGAAATCCTATTTGAAACAACTAAAAGCCCCAAGAACAACTTATAAATATTGTCTGGAACATTAATACTTAAAATGTTTCTTAGAGCCTCATCAACGCTTGTCAAATCCAGTTTCTCTGCTTTAAATCAAGAAGAAAACCCCTCACATTTGATGTTCAGTCTGTATATAATGAAGCCCTCGTGTGGTTCTGTTACTTTGCATTAGGAACTTGCAGACATGGCGTAGCTGTCTGTCGCTGCATACTGTGTTGCTATGGTGATTAATGGCTAATGAGTAGCAGTGGGGTGCATCTTGAACAAGCCTCCATCCTTTTTAGCTGATCAAGGTCTTAAGCCTCCTTTTATCTGCTACGACAAACTTCACAGCTACTGTTAATAAGTTATCGCATGTCTCTCAAAATACTTACCCCTAATTTACACAGAGCAGATTTACTTACAGCGGCCTGTACTACATCTTTGAATCTAGCGTGAAATAGATGGTGTCCAGTAAAACGTATCAATAACCATTGCCATTAGGCTGCACCAGCAAAACAACAGGCATATGGAATGAAATTAACTAGCAACTTATTGAATTAAACTGTAATAAAACTTGAAAAATGTCAGAAATAGTTGCAGCCAGATATGTTAACTGGAAGTCAGTGGAGCATTACAATATGTGACCTATCTTCTAATAGTAATGGTTAAAAAGGATGCCAGGAAAACATTAAATTCAACTACCAGTGCATCGTAAATATAGGTATGATTTTGTTTCCTTTATAGGTAAAGGCATCTGGAAGTAGGGTTGAACGGTCGGGGGAAAATGTCTAATTGCATTTTGTCTTATAATTTAGCCGCAGTTTAATATTTATTCTGTAATACATCAAAAACGTGATGGATCATTACCACACGAGGCACTGACAAAATAGTACTTGCTCTATATTTGAATATACATAAAACTTAAAGACATTAATTGCCTCAAATCTGTATTTATTATATTTTTTGGAATTACATAGAAGATTTTTCACAAAAGCTGCGAAAACGTTAAGTTACAAAAAAGTAGAAAAATTTAAAAAATAAACTATTTCCTAAACGAATACAATAGGACCTTTCTGTAAACAATCTCTAACATTGAAACAAGTCAGTCATTCACTTATGGTTCAGGAGCAACATCTAAGCATTGCGTATTTTGCTACAATGTTAAATAATGAAAAAAAAAAAACACTTTGGGTTAGATGTGCTGTAGAGCATATATCCTGAATTTGGGGTCTCAATTTAAAGTAAATTCATGTAAGTTTAAAGTGAGTGTGAAATACCTGATTATGCTAAACTTACACTAATCTCGTGTTTTCAGCACTATACATCTATAGGAACATTGTTTTTTACTTTTCTCATTTTCACATTAGCATCTTACCATAAAGACACTGCTGGACTCGGCACCACCATCTGCTCAGCTGTGATTTGTTCTCTGCTACATGTGCTGCCAGTGTTGTTGGCACTGGAGTGAGCTCTACTGTGCTCTGCTTAAAAAAAAGGTTTGCTATCGAAATATGTCAGGCAACATATACAGCATCTGATATATCTGGGATAGGCCAATATCGGTCACTAGATAATGTGGTTAGGCTCTGTTTGTACATAGTACATATAATTAGTACTATTTTCTATCAAAAACTACCTGTAGTTTGTGCTGTGTGCAACACCTTTATTTTGGTGATGTGTAAATGTCCACTTGTAAATACTTGTGTCTAGATTTTGAACAAAGTGCAACAACCTTCTACATTAGATGAGCTAAACTCTGTCAAATCGACTTCTAAATTGATTTGCTACACTCTGTCACGTCCTGCATACAAGTGTTGTGCAACCGTCGTATGTTTATACATCCTGTGTTGGCATTAGGAGTTCATTAAGGCAGAGCTCGGTCGGAGGAATTTGATCTGCAGGTTAATGAGGGATCTCTGCTCAACATGCTTCTGCAGTGCAGCATTGCAGTACAGCGGAGGAAGTATATAACAGAACCGTTTAATCAAGCCAGTTAATGGTGTATGTCTTTTATTACACCTCTGTGGTAGAAAGGAGCTACATCACAGATAGACCATGGCACTGCCAGGGTCGAAGGTAGCTTTTCCACAATGAAAATATATGCATCTGTAGTGCTGTGAAGTGCTTTGATGAAGCATCTGCGAGTGGTGGGCACAATAATAGAGAATGCCAGAACTAGAAATACTCTCATGGCTTTTTAAAGCAGCATTTCAACTTTTAAAAATAGCAGACCTGCTTCTGTTCTCTCATTGTGAATCCAGAGTTCAAAGAGAAAACTCTCCACCCGAGAGAGTGCAGCACAGTGCAGTTAGGAACATAAAAGGAGAAGTTGCAGCGGCGGGATGTTTTTCTGTTATCAAATCCATCCTGTCATCGTCGATGATTGATGGTGATGTAAGACCAGCCTCGCAGCTCGGAGGCCGTTTCACTGTTGTTAATAAAGACAAAGCCTCCATGTCCTGCAACCCAACCAGCAAGCCACTTTGTCTGATGGAGCGGTCGAGAGAAGAGGGAACTGTGGGACGAGGGTTGATACGGATCAGTGAGGATTAATGGTCAGATAACTACAAACCACAATGCAATCTCTCTGTGTCTTTCTCCGTCCCTCTCTGCAGTCACACTGTCATAGAGTGACGCTCGCTGCCAGGAGAACAGTGCAGATAGAAATATGATGGATGAGTGATGAAATCAAGGAGTGCAAATTTAAGAGGAAAATGGTTATGAGTGTAAAGCAATGTAGTGATGTTCCAGTGTTACACCAAAGTCTTCAGATGTGCAAAACAAAAATCTCAACAACCAATAATTACAATTATTAGTGAGCCCAAATGTATGTGAAAATATATTTTTCCTCGCTTAAGAGGTTGTTTATGGTCGTCACTGACTTCTTTTTTTATATATATAGAATTTAACCAACACTCCTAAACACAGTGTTGCATTTGTTACTGACTTCTATCCTGATGTGACATGTTCAGTTTCTGTTATACACCTCACTATATGTTGTGTAGTTGGTTGAATGTCTGATAGTACTTTTTTGGAACTATGAGAATTATCATTCAGTTGTAAATATTTACTGTTCAGTTAGTTTGTTTGACTGTTACACCCTAGATCATGTGAGTGTTGTATCTGTCTTCTAGCTGCTGTCCTCAATATAAACCCTTCATGAGTATGTTCACTGAGCTGGACGAGGACCAAGATGTTTTAAGGTTAACTGTGTACATGTAGTCATGTAAGGACAGAAGAGGCGCCATTAGAAACGTGATTAATATCAGGATTTTATGTGAGAGCGTGACATTTCGTAACAAACCATTTGAGTATGGATATATTTGAAGAGTTAGTCTGATAGGTAGATATTACTAGTCTGGTTTTGTCAGAAAGTATACGTCTAAGTGCTGTGACTTTCTCTATTTGCTCGTCTTTTTCTTTCAGACACATTTTTCTTTCTTCTTGTTGTCATTTTGAGCCGTTTAATTCTCTCATAATGCGTTCCTTTCATTCTGGTGTCCCCATTCGTCTCCTGCCCCTGTTGTTCGCTGCTCCTCAGTCTGCTTTCCGCCTCACTTTCCATCTCTCCCTCTATTTCCATTTCACAGTATCTCTCTGGGTCATGTCGCCCCCCTCCTCCGCCCCTAATGTTTTGGAGGGGTCTCAAGTCGGCTGACACTGTTGGCTTCGCAGCTATTTTTAACTCGCTGCCGAGCGCCTGTTGATCGCAGTGGATAAGTTTAGATCTGTGACTCTGAGCTTTTCGCTGTTGCGATGTGCTGTTTAGACACAGATGTGGCGGTTTGCTGATCTCACTATGGACATTACATTCATTTGATCTTGTGTCCAAAGTTTAAACTTGTGAGAACTCGTGGATTAAGTTTACTAAAAAACACATTTAACAGGATTATAGTGGGGAATTTTACATCAAGCGGACGGAGCACAAATGTATTAAAAGTTTTGGCAATAATGAGCTACATCTCTGCCAAAACGTTGAGGACATTTAAAGCAGTGAAGCGCTGCTTCCACTGAAGTGCTTGTTCCAGAACTTTTCTGCTAATGGTCAACACTTCTGCTTTGAGCTGTGTCAGGCAGGCTGCTCTGCCAAAGGCTACGCTCACACTGCCCACTCAGGCCAAAGCACTGGGAGCCACGTAGGAAGCCAGATGGAAACAAACAGCTGAATGCTGTGGTCTCTTGACTCTTGTTTTGTCTTGGAGAGCTCTGTTCCCACAATCGTGTTTAATGAAGGACACCTTGGAAAAATATGTGCTGCGTTAAACTCCCAGAATGCACAGTGTGAGCCCCTGGGGAGCTACTTAGATGTAATATAGATGAGAGATGAACTAAAGTGGAAGTTTGCACGCACAGGACCTGATGTGTATTTAATTTTTTGTGGCGAGACATTGAATCGATTGTAAATTGTAGGACCCACAGAATAACTGTTGTTTTGGGAAAAGAGTAATCGAAGAATGGAGCGGAGTGCCGACTGCAGAAAGCTTCTGCAGGAAGAAGTGCAAAGATAAATGACAAATCCACACTAGTGTGACTCAGAGCTGATCCCACCTACACACATCACCAAACATACACTCATCCTTCAGCCGGGCCGGCCTTCTCTGCAAAGTTGTTTGTTAAAAGAAGTCATTGAAGTCGTGTAACACAATCTTGTGTAACATTCTGTTTCTTGATGGCAGTGTTTAATGCAGGGCAGTGAGGTCAGTGTTTCTCTTGAGGCTAATTAAAATAAAAAACAACTGAAAAAGTACAACAAGTTCTGTTTCTTTGTAATTCAGATGAAGTTCGCTGCACTGATGAGGAACTACATATTGATTTGGTTCAGTGCTGATTAATCTGTCAGTTTTTTTTTTTTACAAATAATTTTCCCTGATCGATGAGTTAACTAATTATCACCAAGAACTCCTGAGCAGTTTCTAGGCATTTTGACTCCTGTCTCATTTTTACTCGCTGTGGCCTTAGGTTCCACAGTATACAGTCCTGCACAGCTAGGTTTGGAGAGAACTTAAAAAAATGCATTCTGTACGATACAACTACTTTAAAAATGTCATTGGCCCTATTAGAAGAAAAAACAAAAGTTGAATTTATTTGATTATTTATTTTACAATAATTGAAAAAAAAAAACCCTGGGATTTACATTTATTTATTTTTACATTTATTTTTATAAAAAGCAACTGTACATACTGTAGATATGTTAGTGTTCACATGTTCTTTTTGTTTCCGTACTCTTCTCCTGTCTTTTTGTATAAACACAGCCTGCAGTTCAGCCAAGTAGTCATGTCTATGTTGGTCTCAGCCAAGTCAGTAACAGCTGTCAGAGTTGTGCTAAGAATCCCACAGTGTTTTTATTTTTTTTACAGAGTCTGGATGCTGGCGATGATTTATTTTGTAAATTTTTTTGAATGAAACATGTAGAACAAAGTGATGAAATATCAAGATTTTAAGCTTAGATTTGCATCATTTTCTCAACAAAGTTGCACATCTCAGATGAGTAGTTCAACAACTTTCAGAAAGTTGAAAACATGACCAATATGTATGATTTTACAGTTTCTGGCTCCTTTAAGTAGTGTCATTTTGGCTTCTTCTTTTTATTTTTATTTTTTATTTTTTGGATAATATGCCTTTTAAGCCCGCTGGTGGGTTTTGAGGTTTAAAGGGTTAAATAATTGATTGTTTATCAAACCAATCTTGTGATTAATTTTGATTTATAAAGTATTGTTGGTAATAGGACCAATATGCCAGCTTCTATATCCAGTTAAAAGTTAGTGTGTTAGGCCTATTGTGCTAAAAAAGCACCATCAAATAATGAATACTAAACTGTAGTTGTATACAGTGGATCATACAAAGTGCATACTGTGCCTTTATGCACATAATAAATTATAATTTTTAGGAGGTTTTGGCATAACAATAAGTTGTATGACATGAGCATTTCATTAAATCAGTGTGCTTAGAAGAATATAAGCGAAATTCTAACATGTAGGTTGTGAATTGTGAGTGAATTCTGTGTTGTTTAACCCCGTTTTTATCCTGTCTACATGTATCGCTATTTATATCCATATATCTTCTCTGTCTTCATCAGTGTGTGGGGGAGGAGAACTGGGTGGACAGTCGGACGGTGTATATCGGACATAAAGAACCCCCTCCGGGAGCTGAGGCCTACATCCCTCAGCGTTATCCCGACAACCGCATTGTCTCCTCCAAGGTGAGCAAGCTCCAGCCCGTGAGTCAGTGCCACAACACTGTTCATCATCGCGCTTTTCTTTTCTTACATATTCAGACAACCATGTAATCGCTTTTGTCGCCATGTTTTTAAGGATGACACACTTCACTTTCCTTGTGTTTGTCAAGCCGTTTATCACAGTTCCTCTTGCCAGAGGGACTGCTGTGATGTGCCATTGTTTCCCTTTCTGTTCTTATGTGTCTTGATAGTAATTTTGCTGTCACTCTGCTCCACAGTACACCTTCTGGAACTTCATTCCCAAGAACCTGTTTGAGCAATTCAGGAGAATCGCTAACTTCTACTTCTTGGTCATATTTTTGGTCCAGGTGAGCAGCAGCAGCCGTTGTTTGTCATCTGTCTTTGTGTTTGAAGCTTGAAGGAAACGTTCTCCCAGCTGTCATTTGTGCAGAAACATCTTTAAGCCTCACAAACTGCTGAAGACAAATTGCATTTCGGAGTCACATTTTCTAACATTAAGTTAAACTGCCTCAGATATTTGCAGAGTAGATGTTAGTTTTTCATACTTATCTGACACAACAGTGTCAATTAGATGCCTGATGATATTTCAAGAATGTGACAACAGTGCCTCAAAATACTGAAAAGTTCTGAAACTCAAACCTGCAAACATGTAAGAATTTTGAAAATTAGCTGGAACAAAGTTTTTAACTCTGTATTGAATCTGTAAAGCCAGGAAACCGAATGAAAACGCTTTGACACAGTATGTAATTTTGTTACTTTACTTGACTAGAATAATGAATAGTGGCTCATTCAGAAGTTGTGGTGCATTTTAGAAGTCAGGACTTACTTGTTAATAGTTTCTCATAGAATTTAAGTGCATGAGCCTGTAAATAAAAAAAAAACTGTGTTGTGGGAGCTTTGAAAATCATTTAATTCATATGAGCTGGATGTGAAAACACGTTGTAGCTATTTCATGATCCTGATGTTGTACATTACTTTTGCTCAGTTACCTTAAAACAACTCAACTTGCATAAAAAGTTCTGCCTCTTTATCATGTGTGTTTTATCTCATTGTTGCCTTGTTTCAAAATAAGAGTCCAGCAGTTAAATTCTGCACCTCTTTAAAGCAACTTCAATGAGAGTTACCAACACCAGACAACATCCTGAAATCATTCGTGTTATGACTGTTCAGCACCTGTCTAAATCACATGCAAGGACAAACTCCTGATAGAAGAGGAGACGCTGCATCCTTTTCTGTTTCCTGTAATGTCTTTACCAGCAGCTGCTCTAATAGACCAGAATGCAGCACAGCGGCAGCTTGAGTCTCTGTGTTCTGTGTGTTTTATCAGCAGCGTGTGAAATACTGCACCCTGTTAATGGGACAAACTGGGCACAGCACCAGCGTTTGTACCCTTTTTACTTTTTGTCACCTGAGAAAGTATTTCTTTGCTATGTTGCTCTCTGCATTTGTAGCTTTTAAAAATGTCAGCATGTGTAAATGTAAAAACAAAAAACATCACATCTGTTGATTATAACTCACCCAGAATGGATTTTTGCTTCAATAGAAGTCGATTTGAATACGAGGATACTTTCGTTTTTGCAAGTCTGGTGCTTTTTCCTGCTGCACTTCCAAACTCAGTGTTGCGTTTGGCATCCTCTCCCTCTTCTCCTTTTCCTTTTGTCCCCTCTTCTCCCTCCCCCCCTCTCTTACTCTACATCTTCCTCCCACTGTTCCTCTTCCTTGCAGCTTATCATCGACACCCCCACCAGCCCAGTCACCAGCGGCCTGCCCCTCTTCTTTGTTATCACTGTCACCGCCATAAAACAGGTAGGACACACACAAATATGCTTCCGGGAAATATTGCCCACAACGATCCTCTTTGCACACCAACTTTCAGGCGCACACACACACACACACACACACTCTCTCTCTCTCTACCAATCGGCTGCTCTATTATCTGTATATACACATTCCTCTCCCAGCGAAAGGACATGCCATTGAATATGTCTGGTGATGTGAGAAATATGATAATGAATGGTCTCCTCTGTTAATCACTCTAGCCGAGGATCCCATGCCCCTGGGAGATGCATCCTCTCTACTGTGTCCCCCCCCCACCGTACTGAGGGATTGGGTACTATCAGTGATAGATGGAGCGGTTCTGGCTAAGGAAGCTTGAGCTTTACCGGGGCATAAATCTAAAACATGACACGTTAGCTAGAAATCCAGGAAACAGGTCACTAAGCGTAGGGAGCACAACGCTAATTAATTACAGAGTATGACTTTCACCTCTTCCCCCCGCTCTGTCTTGATCTCATGCTACGCTCTGGCCCCAATTTCTCTCCGCACAATGATCTATATTCTCCGTTTCCCTGCTGCCAACAAACACATTTACTCTCTCCTCCTTGCCCCCTTACAATCTTGTTTTCTATTTCTCTCTTGCTGCAAACCCCCCTCGCCGCATCTCTCTCAGGGCTACGAGGACTGGCTCAGACACAAAGCAGACTGCTCTATAAACGAGTGTCCGGTGGACGTGGTGCAGCAGGGGAAGGTGGTGAGGACACAGAGTCACAAGCTACGGGTAAGAATGGCCTCATTAGATGCAGTATAGCACCTGAGGCCACAAAGCAACACTGCTGTAGTGCTGCATAGCTGGCTTTTTCTGTAACTGTCGCTCTCGCTCCCTCCTTTCTCCTTCCTCTCTGCAGTCCTCTCTAACTTTGTTTTACTGCCTCTCCTGCGCTCTCTTGTTTTTTTTTCCCACCAATTAATTGCCCTGAAACTGTAGTAGATCATCCCCTGGTGCAACCACACAAGAGCCCCTTAGAGGATGAACAGGATTGATGTGTTTCATAAGTGAAGATATTCCTGTCGTCATCCTTTGATGTTCTCTTATGTCACTCTGATGCAACTGCAGACCGCAGTTTGGTAGTGTGGCTCATGGGGCCTCTTTTTTGAAAATGATTTTTATCATCTTAAACCCGGCGCTGATCCTCTTCACGGGTGCAGTTTTTCTCAGGGCATTGTTACTGACTCGAGTCTGTCCGTCTCATGTCCAGTTCAAACTGGCACGCAGGATTTCGTGTAATACAGACAGCTGATGATGATGAAACTGCTGATTGCCCTCTTAAGTCTTCTTCATTAAAACGTCCCCCGAGGAATCCTCTCAGCCCGCATTTTGTTTGGGTTGACTGAAATCTGATCCGCAAGTTGCTCTGGTTCTTTTTTTTTTTTTTTGACAGATGAGCTGCTCCAGGCACGTTTGCTTCCCAGTGTTAAGTTCACGTGTCATTTGTAACGCAACTCTGGAAGCTGTACTTCTAAAACGCACTTAGTAGTCACTGGTGTTGCCAAGTGGAGCAATTTTAAATCAGTTTTATTAGACATTACTCAAAGTGCAGTAAATGTCACATTTGTTGGGGACTGTTTGAAACATTTACGACAGCAGGGCAGTAAACATGGGACCGGCATGGAGGAAACCAGACTTTTATTACAGTGAAGGAACATGTGATCAATGCAAAGTGGTGGCTTATGTACATGTTTTCTGTAGTTTTTGGTTAACAATGAACAATCAATCATACAAATCAATAATTTAAGCTAGGCTTTGGCCAATACTTGTGGACCTTTAATGGGATTTGTTGCTAAAAGAAAAAATGTGCATTCATTGTACAAAGATGGGCTCTATGACACCACTTATCTGCTACTTATAATACAGTCTTGAATCAACGCTGTTCTAGCAACATTCACACCTCAAGGTATGTCAGGTTTGAGCTATTTATGGCCTATTAGCTGTGTGAATTGGGAGTTACTGTGACATATATCTAGGACTCACCATCACTCAGTTAGAAGTGAAGAAGCCTCTCGAATGAGGTGAAACATCTTTAAAAACCAGAAAGAGAAATCCAGTTGCCTTTTACTGAAGCTCTTACGATTACCATGAATCTACACAGACATCCTACAAGAATTTGAGCTGTCAGAACTCTGTAGTTGATGTTTATTTAATCAATTTCCTAAAGAAAATCATTAAAAAAATGTCCACAAAATACAATAAAACATACGGTACTTGTTGTATTATTAACAGGTGAGAAGTTGTTTGCGGTCACCATTAAAGATTCTACTCTAAGCATAAACATCTCCAACAGCGCTAATTTTCAAGGTGATGGAGAGAGTCGATGAAATAAGACACTCACTCATTTTGTTTCGTCTTATTTACAGTCGTGACAGCAGATGTCGGGGTGAATGTCAAGATTTCTGTGAAAAACAAAACAGCATTGCTTAGCTGGCACGCTGCTCAGCAGAAATCTCTCCCATGTCACCCAAGCGTGAATGAAAACTGTGCATAATTTGAGTGTCTAGCTCATTGCCTCCAGTGTAGATCTATAGATACGGTATGCTGTATTTCAGACTTGTTTCACCGTTGTGTTGGCAGGTATGTAATGGGTGCTGGTACATCTCATTTCTGCTGCGTCTGCTCTTCTTGTTGAGAGTGCGGAGACTGTGTGGGATGTTGAAGGGTCAGCTCGGAATACAGCTTCAGAAAAGCTGCCAAACCGTAAAGGATGCAGAGCACGGGTAGTTTACCCCAAATATAACCGGTTGTGGAAGACATTTCAAATCCACGTGCATAAAAATACTCCTTCTGTCTATCACTGTCCCTGTCCTCTTTTCCTTAGTCCTTTCCGTCTGCCTCGCTTTTCTTCCGGTGTTTCTTGCACCAAGGTTTCTCACCACCACAGATCAAACAGAGAGGATTACTGTGTGAATTGGGAGCAGGAATAATGATGAATACATTAATCATGCAAAATCAGAGAGCGTGTGTCATGTGTATGGTCACCGTGGAGATGGGATTTATCAGAGTTTAAGCTGCTCTGCTCGCATAATCCGTTATGCAACTTCTCAATCCTTTGAAAAAAAGAAAAAAAAAAAAAGGAATGGTAAAGGATGAGCAGATGATTACCCGCAGGTCTCTCTGTTTGTCTTTTACTCTCTGTGTTTATGTGAAGAAAAAAAAAAAAAGACTTCATTTATTATTGATGTGAAAGCCACCATGGGGTGTGTCTGTCCCATTTTATCAGGTGGGGGACATCGTCGTGGTGAGGGAGGACGAGACTTTCCCCTGTGACCTCATCCTTCTCTCCTCCAGCCGCCATGATGGGACCTGCTACGTCACCACCGCCAGCCTGGACGGGGAGTCGAGTCACAAGGTGCCAGGACATCTCCTATTTTAAAAATATCACGTTTAATCACAAAAAAAAGCCTCGATTTACATGCGTCCTTAAAACTCTGGGAGATGAGTCAGCTGGATTTAAGGCCTTCAGAAGTACTGAAATCCCACAAATAGAACCCCTTTTGAAATCAGACAAAGCATGCCTACTCACACAGAACAATACAGATTATGTAATATTATAATAGTATTACTGGCTGCTTTTTTTGTTTGTTTGTTTTTCTTTGCACTGAAATTTTGTTTGAAAAATCTCTCTGCTACAACAACAAAAGGACAGAAAATATCATGACTGTTTCCAGGCAGGGCTGCAAGGTGGCGCAGTTGGTTAGCACTGTTGCCTCGCAGCAAGAAAGTCGCCGGTTTGCGTGGCCCCACTGGGATCTTTCTGCATGGAGTTTGCATGTTCTCCCCGTGCAGTGTGGTTCTCCGGTTTCCTCCCACACAGTCCAAAAACATGTTGAGGTTAATTGGTGATTCTAAATTGTCCGTAGGTATGAATGTGAGTGTTCTTGGTTGTCTGTCTCTAAGTGTAGCCCTGTGATAGACTGGCGACCTGTCCTGCCTTCGCCCTAAGTCAGCTGGGATAGACTCCAACCCCCCGTGACCCTCGTGAGGATTAAGCGATGTATAGATAATGGATGGATGGATGGATGTTTCCAAGCACTAGATTGCAAACATAATATACTGCAGATAGAAAATCTTTACGTGTGTGGTTGCCTATTGTTAGTATGTAATATGACAACATAGAGGAAGGTGACTGAAGTTAGAGAAATACGCTAATTATTTTATAATCCTCTCAAAAGCATACACAATTAGATTTTGCAGTTAAAATAACTGATTTCAATGTTGTTTCTAAAATCGTACTTATTTACAATTTGAGACCATTTATAGTGCCATCATTTAGAAACAGAATGTCTTTGATGTTTGTTGCAGTTTTTATATGGTTTTGAATAATATTGCACATCATAATTAAAAAGGCGGAATAATTGATTTGTTGTTTAACAGATAATTAGTCACTATTTTGACATTCAGGTCATTGTTTAAGCAAAAATATGAAACACCTCCTAGTTTTGGTGCTCAAATGTGAATATTTAATGCTTTTTAAAAACAATTAAATAGGAATAGATAACCAAATGTATTTAGATTTTGGACTGTTGCTCAGACAAAGCAAATAATTTTAAAAGACTGTGACTTCGGAGACTATAAGGTGCTTTTTTCCTCTAATTTCTGACATGTTCTAGCACAACAGTTAAGAAAAAAATAATATAATATAAAATATATAAATATAATAAAATATTATAAGAAGATTAAATTATTAATAAAAACTGTCATTAGTTGCAGCTCTACCCTTTTCAATCAACAAATGCACACATACACTCACTAATGCATAATGATGATTTTTCTCCGATGTTCATTGATGTCACTCACACAATCTTATGCATGGCTGAGCGCACACACACACACACACACACACACACACACACACACTTATTGCCCACAGTGTAGCGTGGAGTTCTCAGTCCATCCTACTTATACATGCCCTCGGGGGCAAACCCCTGATGTGCTCACCATCCCATCACGCCGTCCCCCGCTGACCCAGGGAGCGTTCTGTAACAGCTCATCTCCCACCTTCCCGATTCCCCCCGGTCATTTAGAAAACCTGCTGAGGCTTAGGAGTCAAATGAACCCTGTTCTCATTAGTGGCTCTGGGTGACATTTTCCTCTGTTGTCTTCTTCTTCTTCTTCCTCCCTTTCTCCACCTTTCATCCTCAGACCTATTATGCTGTACCAGATACCATGGCCTTTAGAACAGAGCAGGAGGTGGATTCGCTACATGCCACTATTGAATGTGAACAACCGCAGCCTGACCTCTACAAGTGAGTTGACACGTACTCACTGATGCACCTTTTATAAGATCTAACCTTATCGCTGCGCACGTCTTGATTTGATTTCGCTGTGACTTTTTTCTGTCAGATTTGTGGGACGCATCAACATTTACAAGGACAAAGAAGAGCCTGTAGCTAGGTGGGTGTGCCGGTTTTTGTGGTTACAAGTACTTTCTTAACCCTGTTCAGGACTTTTGGGGTCCTTTATACCCCAGGCCATTTGGTTGAGGTGACAGGTATTGTTATTTATTTTTGAAGATTTTTTTTTTAAAATATAAAAACAGAGACATTTGTCATGCATTTGTAACCAAAAATACGTTGACTTATCAGAACATGTATTTAACATAGTATAAAAGTCTATAATGAATACCAACAAATATTTTGCACATATTCTTTCTTGGGGTCCAATGGAACCCCAAAGACCTTCTACATATGGCAACATGAAAGTCCTGAATAGGTTTAAATAGATCTTGTTTGGTTCTTGGCTGTAGATTTTATGACGAGGCCAACTTTTTTTTAAATCAGATTATTTAAATGCCTTTTATGCTGTTTTCTGAAAAACCATCTCCTTTATCTGTTTTGTTCTTGCAGACCACTTGGGGCTGAGAACTTGCTTCTTAGAGGAGCCACACTGAAGAACACGCAACATATTTATGGTATTGTCATGTGGATTCAGTCTGTTAAATGTCTCGTCAGTGTCGTAATGACTGACAACAGTTTTCGTCTTTGCAACTCAATGTATTCTCTCCTCTCAGCTGTTGCAGTCTACACCGGCATGGAGACCAAGATGGCACTTAACTACCAGTCGAAATCTCAGAAGCGCTCTGCTGTAGAAAAGTATGATTAATGCCCCGACTCCTCTCAGTGGATGATTCAGAGCTCCTTTGTGGATTAGTTAATTTCCTAACCTGTGATCCCGACCGCTCCTTTGCCCTTCTCTCTGCAGGTCGATGAACGCCTTTCTGATAGTGTATCTGTGCATCCTGATCAGTAAAGCGGTCATCAACACTGTTCTAAAGTACGCCTGGCAGTGGTCTCCTGACCGAGACGAGCCCTGGTACAACCACAGGACTGAGAACGAGCGCCAGCGCCACGTGGTCCGTTTATAATCCTCAAAAATCTGGACACCAAGCCTTTAATGTAATTTCTCTAAAACGTAGCTGTCTTTTCCTTCCTATATCAGGTGATCCGAGCCTTCACCGACTTCCTGGCCTTCATGGTCTTATTTAACTACATCATCCCGGTGTCTATGTACGTAACGGTGGAGATGCAGAAATTTCTTGGCTCGTATTTCATCACGTGGGATGAGGAGATGTTTGACGAGGAGCTGGGAGAGGGCGCTCAGGTGAACACGTCCGACCTGAACGAAGAGCTGGGACAGGTACATCGGCACGCATGCCTTTGCATACATTACGTGGTTTTAAACCTCATGTTGACGTGCCCTCGCTGTACTCTTCCCTTTTTTCCTCCCTCCCAGGTGGAGTATGTGTTTACTGATAAGACCGGCACGCTGACTGAGAACAACATGGAGTTTATCGAGTGCTGCGTGGATGGGAACGTCTACATCCCACATGCAATCTGCAACGGCCAAATCCTCAGTGCGGCCTCCAGTATAGACATGATTGATTCTTCACCTGGAGGATATAGGAGAGTAAGTGTGTGTGTGTTTTGCAAAATAAACAGCCTGAGTAGAAACTTGGCTTTGTGAACTCTACTATCAAATAAGATTTTACCTGACAAATTAGGAATATTTTTTTAGGAAGAATGAATGTTAAAGTAATAATAATTGACAGTTTGATATGAATAAATGTCATTTATTTTCTCATTTTAGTTGCTGGCACACACAGTACTTATACAGCCAATATCCACTTCATGAAAACTTCATCATTTTCTTTGCAAAGCCCAAGTGTTTGCTTTGTCTTACAGGGAGCAAAAAAAAAGTCCTCTGGTACACAGAAAAGTGATGAGCCTTGCATTTATGGCGGCGGCAACAAAGATTAGTTTAGATTTAATAAAAGAAAAACTGTGTAGTCAGCAAGAGCAGCAGTAGTCACCACAGATGACTAGAGCAAGAGAGAGGAGTGCTCACTGCCAAGGCTTAAATGTGCAGAAAAGATTTCCTGCGTTATTGCTACATTTTTTAGAGACATATAGTGAAAAAAAAACACCACAGCAGCAACTGAACAGAACCAGTCGTGTTTCATAAAGTGGCGAGGGCTAGTTCTTCACTCGTGTTTCAACTATGCACCTTTGAACCTGTCTCCCGGATGAAATTGAGAAGTGTTGTAATGAATGCTGCGTATTTATTTGTGTCCGTAGGAACACGAGGATCTGTTTTTCCGAGCGCTGTGTCTGTGCCACACGGTGCAGGTGAAGGAGGAGGAGACGGTGGATGGCATCAAGAGGGGCATCCATCAGGGCAGGCCCACCTCCTTTTACATCTCCTCCTCGCCTGATGAGGTGGCTTTGGTGGAGGGAATGAAAAGGTAAATTCACTAAATCACAAATCGCTAAGTAGTAAGGTGGCGACTCTTTTTGTTGCATTGCCTCCGTCCTCTAATGGATTAGATTTGAAAGGCAATAAGTTCTGACTTTCGGTGTCAGTTTGATTGACTGTGTAAGAATTGTAGCTCTTTTTATTTTTATAGTCTCCTTTTTTTTTCAGGAGATGTGGTTAAATTAATGTCATATTTAATATTTGCTGGGAAATACTGTGCAGTCCATCACTGTCTGAAGTCACACACACAGTAGCCAAAACTTCACCCAGGCTTTTTTTTTTGGTTGTTTTGGGGATGTTTGCCTCCAGTCTGGTCACACTGATGTCAGGAGGTTGACTTAGTGAGTCAACAACACTTTGATTTCTGGCCACAAAAGACTTGAGTTCCTTTTGAGGAGTGGTTAGGTTGTATACTACAAGGTTGCGAATGCCATCAGCAGTTATTCTTTGGTTTGATTTTCAACTAGCTGGACCCTTACTGCACATCTTTCGCCACATTTCCTGTCTGTCTGAACTGCTCCTGTCTAATAATGGCGAAAATGGCAAAAAAAACAAAAAAAAACAAAACCATATCCAGCATCAGAGTTCTAAAATTAGGGAAAGTCATATAAAAAGTGATGCAAGTCGAACGCTGTTAAACCAGTGTGCCTGCAAACACAGTTGAAAGTGTAATTGTCGCACAGACAGATAACCTTACAGTGATTATTTCGTTTTAAATCCAATGTGACAAGAGAGCCAATGCATGGAAAAAATGTGTCCCAGCAGTTGGCAGAAAAACTGATTATGTTCTTGAATTCAGCCCAGCACATGTAGTAATACTGGGTTCAGACTGTTATTAGTTCTGTGTCAGAAACATTGATGTCAGTGAGAACACCGCCGCGGGGGTCCTGGTGCTGGCTAAAAGAAAACAAAAAGCAAGGTCATCCAATAAAAAAATTGGTCCTGGCTCAAGTTTTGCTGCACTACAATCTGGCAATACAAATTGTGGCAAAGCAAATAGGCACATCCCTGAAAGAACACTTCGAAACTCCAGCGTCAAATGAACTTTTTTCAAATTTGTACAATCCTTCCTTGTTGTATAACTACTGTGCCATGTTTACTGATTAGCTTGAAAAAATTACTGATTTATTACACAAACTGGACTTTCTGGATTCGATCTCACCTTTTTAACCAATATGTGAAGTAGCATCAGTACAGTCTTACTACTTTTGCTATTTCCACTCTTAGCGCAGCTGTGGATACATCAAACAAGCATGTTGCACCCATATATTGCTGTCACAGGACAGAAGTACTGTCCTGTTTGCACATGTGAGCTCCGGTTGCGTTAAATGCATCAGAACACGTTTAGCCTCTCCAAATGAGACACAAGTGAGTAACAGTAGTAATAAACTTGTAATGAATCCTTTTCCCTTCACTCTTGTTGCCAGGCTGGGTTACACCTACCTGAGACTGAAAGACAACTACATGGAGATCCTCAACAAAGATGACGAGATCGAAAGGTTAGTCTACCCCGAGTGTCTGCTGTGGTTACACCACAAACTGTGGGAGTAATTCAGCTGATGGAGGTGTGGTCATACATCAGCTGTCTGGAAGGCAAACAGCTCTCGGGTTGTGTTTCATGCTCAGTGGAGGCTACAAAAAAAAAGCACTACAACCACAGAAGAGTGGGCAGAGGGGTTGTTTTTAGAAACTGCGCACTTGGATCAAAACGCTCCAACTGATCGGGAAGAGTGAAAGGTGGCAAGATTCCATCAGAGAGTGGTTTTGTGGAAAGTGTCTAATGTTTTGATCCGCAGGATGTGTTCGTGTAGCCGCCCTCTCTCTCCATCACTCTCTGCAGTGGCCTGTCAATAGTGAGCTATTTTAAGGAAGCAGTGGAGCTGGAGAGAGGGTGGGGGGGCATTCAGCAGTTGTTCAGACTTACTTCAGAGGCAATGGGAAGGAAAAATGTTGTAGAATATACCCACACTTACTGTTTTCACCCTTTATAAGGAATCTACAATTCTTTGGGCCTCTGCAACAAACTGCCAGACCAGCAAACAATATACTTAATTTACATCTCAAATATCTGTCAGTGTAGTGATTCACCATACAAACAGATAACAAGTTAGGAAGTCTGAAAATAATCTACATTTCTCAGAAAAGAGACTATACCATTAAATAGAAAAAGCAAGTGCTAATAAATGATGAGTGTCATTTAAAGTCAATATTTGCCAAACAGGCACCTCAAACCACGAATACTTGTTTGCTTTTTGTTTTTGATAATGCATTGTTTCCCACCTCGCTCACCCACCCACACACAGAGCAGACTTTAAATTAGACAGAAAAATAAACTGGAGTTTGCACTGAACAAAATCATTACGTTTGGAGATCTCACATTCGTACACTTAACTCTCTGAACTCCAAACAGTTTCTGGGCTGGGCTTTTGTTGCTGTCACATGTTAGTCACTGTGGGTTCATTATTTACTGCAATATAAAGTCCTGCACACCTATGGAAGCAACACAACCATGGCTAGAAGTAGAGAGAACTCAAACATGTTGTGCAGTATGAAGCAGTTATAATATCATAAACCATAGAAAAAAACAACCCAAAAGTTTAATTTCTTTAATTATTCATTTTGCAGAAATAATAATTAAAAAAAAGAATTAACATCTACAACATTTTTTCACGTGCCAATATTATAAAAACAAGAAGGTGACTCGTACTACTAAAGATACTGTGTGTGTACATTTTTGATTTGTTTCCACACTTGTCTCCTCTGTGCTCGATGTAAACACAGCCTGCAGTTCAGCCAAGTTCACTTCAAAAATCCTTGAATTTTTGTCATGTGACTGTTGGTTGCAGTTGAGTCCCTTTAGCTTGTCAGTAGTGCTGGGAAGTGCAGAATTTTTTGTTTTTTACAGAATCTGGTTTGTGCAAAGAGTTGTGTTCTAGTGATTTTTTTTTTAAAAATGTGACATTTTGAATTAATTGATTTTAATGAATTATCAGGATTTAAAGTCAAGATTTGAATAATTATTCCAACAGAATGGTACATCACAGATGACTAGTTTACACGCTGTTAGAAAGTTGAAAATCCAACAATTTTTTTCCGTTTTTACAGTTTCATGCTCTGATAGATGGTATAATTTTGGCAATATTACTAAGGATAGTAAGTCTGTGGGTTGAGAAAGGACACTGCATCTAGAACTGAGGCTTAAGTTTGACAGATTGTCCCTCATTTTCAAGACTCTTAAGGAAGGTTAATAGATAAATGGAAATGTAAAAATTAACAAAAAAAGAACATTTTTATGCTGTCGCTGCCCTGCAGGTTTGAGCTGCTTCATGTCCTGAACTTTGACTCTGTCAGGAGGAGAATGAGTGTCATAGTCAAGTCAAGCTCAGGTAAGACGTCCTCAGACACAACACTAAGTCAATGCAGTTTTTACATCCGTGATCAGATAGTCGCCTGTTATTGCAGTTTGATTAAATGTGCTTGTTTGTTTGTGGGCTCTCAGGGGACTACCTGCTGTTCTGTAAGGGTGCTGACTCCTCCATTTTTCCGCGGGTGGTGTCCGGAAAGGTGGAACAAGTGAAAGCCCGGGTGGAACAGAACGCTGTAGTAAGTGGACAGTTTGACCAACACTGATATATGTTGGCTTTTATGCTACATTGCATTAGGCCAGTTTTGGCATAAATATCATTCAGTGGTACGTTTCATAGCTTTAGGTCAGTAATGCATCCTTAGCTATGGCCTCATGTAAAAAAATCAATAATACAAGGTTTGAAAAAGAGGCTCAGTCAATCAAAAGCTTCTAAATTTATCAAAACATTGAAACTTACAAAGATGACATTTGGGGTTAAATCTCACTCAAAATCAGTGGCGTAAAGAAAATCAATACTTTTTTATTTATTTTTATTTATTAGCAATGCATAAGAAGTCTTTTATGCAGTGCAAAAAGGCAAACATATTTACACAGAGGAATATAATACAACTCTGCAGGTCCCCTCAGAGTTTTAGCATCTTTCAGCTGATTGTTTCGATTTTTACAACTCAACACTTTGCTGTCTTATATCCTACGCCACCTAGTTTCCAGCCAAAGCACGTGACTATATGCAAAGTGTCCAGGACCAAAAGTACTTGCGGTTAAAGTTAGCAGCTACTGGGTGAAGACAGTGGAGCATGCAGTGGTTAAAGAACCAGATATTTCCCTCAGGAGTGAATATTGGCCTTACATTGATCCGGTTTACACAAGCGCAACTGCAAATGAATGCTAATGCTGCTCCGTATCTGCCGGATGCGTTTAAAAATCTATTTTTTGTTAACATGTCCACTGTAACATCTTCATGATGGAACAGCATGATGGTGTTGTGAGCTTGTTGTACTGCCTGAAAGTAGCAGTGGATAAAAATATTGGTATTGTCATTGTCTCACATTGTTGTGCCTCTCTTTGGATCACATGATGTCAGATGGCATCTACTGTGGTGGCATTGAAGCCACAGATGTATTAATCTCACTCTATCTTCTCTGTATCACCAGGAGGGGCTGCGGACTCTGTGCGTCGCCTATCGAAGGTTGACAGAGTCCGAATATGCAGAAGCGTGTTATCACCTGAATGAAGCCAAGCTGGCCCTGCAGGACAGGGAGCAGAGGCTGGCGCAGGCCTATGACATCATCGAGAGGGACTTTGTCCTTTTGGGCGCCACAGCAGTGGAGGACAGGTTGGTCGATGTAGAGAGAGAAAGAGAGAGAGAGTGGAGGGGAGGGGAAAGATTTAGAAACAGTGCAGCAGCAGGGGGACAGAAGGGAAGATTAATGAATCATTAAGCTGCCTTCAAAGTATTGTCTTCAAAGTATTGTCATGACTCACGGGGCAAAAAAGATCCTGTGACCTACTATTAATGATGCAGTGCCTTTTTTATTTCACTTTTTACTTTTATTCTCCACCGTGTGGTAATATAAGATATTTTAGTGCTCTGACTTCAGTATTGACCCTAACTGATTGATCAACTGCATGACAGTTTAATTTCCTAATAGATAAACTGCTGGTGGGGAAGGACGGGGGTGGTCATGCATTGATAAGTTATCACCACTTGGTAATGGATTGATTGAAGCTTTGATGAATGCTTCAACCTACCCCAACTGAGGCTGAGACTCTTATCGACTTATTGATGCGCAGGCTGCAGGAGAAAGCTGCAGACACCATCGAGTCACTGCACAAGGCAGGGATGAAAGTTTGGGTCCTGACGGGGGACAAGATGGAGACGGCGGCAGCGACCTGCTACGCAAGCAAGCTGTTCCGTCGCAGCACCCAGATCCTGGAGCTGACCAAGAAGCGAACAGAGGAGCAGAGTCTGCACGATGTTCTGTTCGAGCTAAACAGGACCGTTCTCAGACAACGCTCTATTTCTGGGTATGAGATAACGCACCTGCTCATCTGTATCTCTGGAGCCCCACATGTACAAAATGTGCACACTTGAATTCTGGTCTGGTGGTCATGTAGATAAATCTCCCTGTTCATGAGTGTGTGCCATGTTTCTCCAGGTTGTCAGTAGACTGCCTCGACTTTGGTCTCATCATCGATGGGGCGACTCTGTCTGCAGTGTTAAAGCCCAACCAGGAGGGTGCAGGTCACAGCAACTACAGGGAGATCTTTCTAGAAATCTGTCGCAACTGTAGCGCTGTGCTCTGCTGTCGCATGGCGCCGTTGCAGAAAGCACAGGTGACAAACCTGCCGTCCTTTTTTTCGCAATATATACTCCAAGCACCTTCCTAAATGACACAGTGGCACTGATTGCAATGCTTTTGTTTCTGCAGATTGTAAAGCTAATTAAAGCTTCCAAGGAGCACCCCATAACCCTCGCCATTGGTGATGGAGCTAATGATGTCAGCATGATCTTGGAAGCACATGTGGGCATTGGTGAGTTCATTTTACCACCGTAATCAATAGTTGAATTGCTTAAATATCCATCAACTGTTTCTGTTAGTGCCCAGCTTGATTTTTATAGCCTGTGCTGATATTTGAGAGTGAAACAAATCTGATTAATCTTTCCCCCCCCAATAATCCCTTAAAACCCCTCTGTAAAAAAACTAAAACTAAAAATCTGTGTTTAGATAATCAGAAAATCATTGCAGGAGTAAATACATCAGCTTGTCCTTTGTTTCCTCAGGCATCATGGGTAAAGAAGGCCGACAGGCAGCAAGAAATAGCGACTATGCCATCCCGAAGTTTAAACACTTGAAGAAGATGCTACTTGTTCACGGCCACTACTACTACATCCGAATAGCTGAGCTTGTTCAATATTTCTTCTACAAGGTACTTGACGAATGCCTCGCGTACTCCAGTGGCTCACACATTTTAATCACGTTATCGTAATTCCCACTGAAACACTGAGTTACAAAGACACAGATTTTGCAGCTACTCTGACAGATTACTGGATTCATGAATCCCTGGTGCAACATTCTCCTGGATTCATGGCCGCGATGATCAGTGTGGGCGGCTTCCATAGCGAGCAGTGCCCTGCCAACTGATTCATTTTTTTTTCTTTTTTTTCTTTTTTGGCAGGCCAGCTCTGTGCGGCCCACTCAGTGAGCTTATAGCGCACAATCTCTGCATAAACAGAAATGTGTAGATAGTAGCATTTTTAGATTTCTTCAAATCTCTTCACTTGTACTTGTCACAAGCTTATCACTTTCTCCACTTGTTTTTTTTTTCTCCCCTCTTAAATCTTTCCAGAATGTATGCTTCATCTTTCCTCAGTTCCTGTATCAATTCTTCTGTGGGTTTTCCCAGCAGGTAAGTACTTTACACTGTGTCAGAGTTAGTATGCAAGCATGTAATGCAGTGTGTACACTGAATATTTGTTCAGACAGTAGCTTCATATAGTAATTAATGTTCATATGAAAGTCAAATCAAGGAATTATAGCCTGATTCTGTTTTTCCCTTCGGCTCTGTGAAGTGTTTTTTTTTTTTTTTTACCTCTTTGCTCTGTTTTTTGGTGCACAGACTCAGCTTTAATCTATCTAGCAGCCATTTGCAGCTACAAAGCTCTGATCAACCCAATTAACTGTACCTGCACAGCCTCCAAATAACTGACAGACATAGTTTGTGAACGTAGTGGAGCATTTGGCCCTTGAGACTAATACAGAACATTGAGAAGAATTAATATTAGACAAATATTTGTCAGGAGCTAAAAACCCATGTGTGCTGGATCTATCAGCTGTGCTTTTAGGTTGTTCCCTTCAAAGAATTTGATGAATGCAGGTGTACATTTTAAGGCGACCTTTCAGTTACAGATGTCTGACGCTGTCTGTGTTGCGTTCCTCCTGCAGCCTCTGTACGACACCGCGTATTTGACGCTGTACAACATCAGCTTCACCTCCCTCCCCATCCTCCTGTACAGCCTGGTCGAGCAGCACGTCACCATGGAGACACTAAAGAGAGAGCCCTCCTTGTACAGGTGAGGTCACAAGAAGATATGCAAATATTTCGTTTGTGTATTTGTATGTTGATGATGATGATGCTAAAATTTTCTGCCCGTCTCTCTCTGTCTTCTTCAGGGACATTGCAAAGAACTCCCTCCTCCGCTGGCCTGTCTTCCTCTACTGGACGTGCCTGGGTGTGTTTGACGCTGTTATCTTCTTCTTTGGTGCCTATTTCCTCTTTGACAACACCACATTCACCAGCAATGGCCAGGTGAGCCTCCGGTCTCTGTGTCAGCACAGGCAGTTAGAACTGTCATGTTGTGAGTCGAGTAGAAACAGAACAGTTATCACATTTTGTGTGGGAATTAAAGAGAGGATAAAGCATGTAAAGTAAGTGCTGTCTTTACGAACACTCACTCATCTCCATTGGATTCTCATTAGAGAGGAGTTAAGTGCAGTGGGTTGACTCTGTGGCCATGTTTTTGTTGTTATGGATCTGTAACAGTAAAGTTTCTGTCTTGGGCCCCACCGTAGGTCAGCAACATTGGATCTCCATTCATATCGACAACGCAATAGCATCTTTCTCTGTATTGTTAATTTGTATCATGTCAACTGTTTTCGATTGCCTTTGGTCCTGTTTTTTAAGTTGAAACATCCTGAGATTCATTTTACCCTTTGTCCTGATTCTTTTCTCTTTTTCTTCCCCCTCCTTCTCTCTGCTTCCTCTCTCTTTATTTTGCTCCTCTTTTTTCTTCTTCTTCTTCTCCTCCTTCCCCTTCTTCTTCTCCTTCCTCTTCAGCTTATGACCACCAACACACAGATGGTAAGCCTGTCTCCCTCCCTGTCAGCTCTCTCTGTCTTTCACGCTCTTTTAGTTCCTGTCGTCTCGTTTATGCTTTCAGTTTGACCGTTTCATCCGGTTTCATCCTTTCTCACTTCACATCATCCATGCACTTTCATTTGAATGTGTAGTTTTTTTCCTAGTGTGCCATTATTTCCCTAATCTCTGTAAAAAAAAAAAAAAAACCCTGAATCCTGCACAGTACCTGATCTTAACAACCCCACTGACATGGTAGAAATCTTTAGATGCTTCCCCACATTATCCTCGTGTTTCGTTGTGGTAGTGAATCAGTTAATACTAATACGTACTACAGATCGAGATCCAACATCTGTTTGTTTTTCTGTCTACTGTGTTTGTGCATCTGTGCGTGTATCTGTTTGTCTGTGTATTTGTGCTGGAAGTTTTTTGGGGCTGGTTGGGTTTTAATTTCACTGCTCTGGCAGGTTTAAAAAAAAAAAAAAAGGAAAACCTCGCTACTCTTTCTGTTATTCAAAAAGAAAAGGGAGGAATGGATGAAGGAATTCTAGCAAAGACAGGTGTAGTAGTACCAACAACCAGCTGCAGCTATTACATAAGTTCTCCAGTTTCTTCGCCTTGATCTCCATATCCCTTCACCCTCCTCCCTCTGTCATCCTCTCATTCCATCTGTTCACTCCTGATGTCTGCTTAAACCCTTCCAGGATTTCGACAGGTAGAGAAATGAGAGATGAAGTGTAAATATTCCCAGTTTATTGGCGACAAACCTTAAAAGAAAACCAAGAGGGTGCTAGTCTTTAAACAGAACACCTCTTACCACTTGAGGGTGTCTTTTTCCCTCCTTTTGGGTGCTCACAGATGCACTGTAAAAACATAGGATGCTCACTAACCCATGGATGCAGGGCGACTGGAGTGTGGGACTGATGTGACCACTAACCTTCTTCTTCCTCTTTTTTCCCCTCGCAGATGTTTGGGAACTGGACGTTTGGGACTCTCGTCTTTACTGTGCTGGTGTTCACTGTTACGCTCAAGGTGTGTGATCACGTGTGTTTGGAAATGAAAATGAGGGGAAAACCCTCTTATTGTATTACATAATCCCTTCATTTCAGTAAGGTCATTACCGTGGCATGTGTTCCCGGTTCTATACGTGGACAAGCTTGCAGCGTGCACGTTGTTAACTATTGTGTTACGTAAACAATTGACTACACTTGTGCTTAGTTTGCGCAGCAGTAAAGCCGAAAGGAAAAACCATCGACCTCATTGACTGGTTTAGTGTTTACTATGTATATATTCTGTTTTTTTCAGCTTGCCTTGGACACACACCACTGGACCTGGATCAATCACTTTGTCATCTGGGGCTCACTACTTTTCTATGTTATTTTCTCTCTTCTCTGGGGCGGCATCATTTGGTATGACGTGCTTCTGTTTTAACTCGTAACGTTTATGTTGATTAATGTATGTTGGGGAAAATCAATGCTTTTCTGCTTTTCCTCTTATTGCTCAGGCCCTTCCTGAACTACCAGAGGATGTACTACGTGTTTATGCAGATGCTGTCCAGCGGCCCGGCTTGGCTCAGCATCATCCTCCTTATTACAGTCAGCTTGCTGCCAGATGTCATCAAGAAGGTCCTCTGCAGGGCCATGTGTCCCACAGCCACCGAGCGTGCACAGGTAGGAACTTGGCATTGACTCCGCAGTGAAACTGGAGCTTTAAATTGTCATGGTTCCAAATTAGCTTTTAGAATTGTAATATAGTAATAGTGTTAACTAAATGCTTTGCTAAAGCTATTAACAAATGACTAATGAATGATCTCCCTTTTTAAACCCTCTGAACCCCTTTATGGGCATTTTTTCTCCTCTAACATTTTTTACTCACTGTGGGCTCATTTTTCACGACAGTATAAAGTCCTGTACCTTTGTGGAAACAGGATAAACTATGACTACAAGTGAGAGAGAACTAAAAGATGTCTTTTGTGCAATAGAACAAACTAGAATGCCACAAATCATAGAAAGACAAAAATTCAGTTACATTTCTTTAATTATTTATTTTACCAAAATTGGAAAAAACCTGAAATCAACATTTTTCTAAGTGCCTACAGATGTCACCAATAGTGGAAAAATAATGGGGACAATACATCATATACATATTTCTTAACTTAAATTTTGAGTTTGCTTTCATAATTCATCATCTCTTTTGTGTAGACAGCCTGCAGTTCAGCAAAGTTTAGCAAAAAGTCCCTGAATTTTTTTCACATGACTGTTTGTTGCTGCAAAGTCACTCATAGTTTCTGAGTTAGGCCTAGAAGTGCAGAATATTTTGGGTTTTTTTGTAGGAGCTGCTTAGAGCAAAAGGTTTTTTTTAATTATTTTTTAATTTATTAATTCATTTTAATCTTAGATATAGTCCATGTACCCATGACAAGTCACAGATGAGTAGTTCAAAAACTATTGGGAAGGTCACAATCTGATGATTCTTTCTGTTTCTACAGTTTCTGATTCTGATAAATGATGTAAATTTGTAGATTTTGTAAAGACAGCATGCGGTTTTGGGATCCAGAGGGTTAAAAGAAAATCAACTGTTAAACACCGTTCCGTTTCACAAGCTAAAATGTCTTAAATGTGACACAGTAAGCAGAACCAAGCTCATACTTTATATTTCAATACCATAAGCGTGAGCCACAAATCTACTCCACTCTATTAATCATCAAGGAAGACCATTAAGATCCATAAAAGCTTTAAGCATCAGTGGGATTTACTGTTGCCTTCCTGTTCCCTGTGGCTTAGCCTTACCTTCCTGTGTAGCAAGCTTCACCATGAATGGAAAAATGAGTGAAAGTTTTGACAGATTTCTTCCTCCTGTGCTTTTTCTCTTCTTTTCTCTTTTCTCACTGCACCCTAATGGATCGCCGTAATCACAATTCACACCGTCCCCCATTGTTCCTTCCCCCCCCTTCTTTCTTTCTTTCCTTCTTCCCACCTCTTCATTACTGTCACCTCTCCCTTCCCCTCTCTTCTTTTCCACCCCTGCCCCTGTGTGGTTGTGACTCTGCCCTCTGCACTCGCCCGCTCTTTCGTGATAACTACAGTCCACCCGCCCGTGCCTTACTGTGGAGCCGTCCACCATCTTCATGCTTTCTCAGTCCTCCAGCAGAATGAGTTTCTGATTGGCCCAGAGAGACGAGAGAGGAGCAGGAAGAGGAGGTGACTCTCTCTTTTGTGCCCTCAACTCTGTATGCATGGTGGCATGTCCCGATGTGAACCACTTGGTCTCCACACCTTTCCTCATGTGAAACTAACTACTAGCTATAGATGACACCACAAGGTCTGGTTTACATTTGTTGTGTCCGTTTTGATTTTCATTGTAAATCACATGTGTTTTGTGTCTCTTTTTCCTGTTTGAGAAATGCACGTTGCATGCACTTTACCATCCGTTTATGTCTTTCATGTTTGTCATGTCATGTCATTTTTAAATGATGGTCTGTCATTGTTGGTATAGGATGCTGTCATGCTTGGTTTTCCTAAAACTGTTTGACAGAAATAGCAAAGGGCCACTGTTGGATTGCTTGCAGGATTCCTTCCATATAAAACACCATCCTAATGTTTCTTTTTTATTATAGTGGAGTAGTCAAAGGTTGAGTCAGCAGTTTTAATGCAGTGCACTTACTGTCAGATTCAGTGAATATCTCCTTACAGTCCGCCAGCTGTCTGTTCTGTGTGCACGCTGAAAGACAACTCTGTAAAAGGGAAACAAAAAACGTAGCTCAGACAGATTCACACAACCATGTTCTGGCGTCACCTGTGCATGTTCACGCTCGTGCACAAGGGGAAATAAATGGAGGAGAGTGAGAGCGAGATGAACGGTAAACCTGGTATCTATCCGAAGATCTTTGTCAGTCAAAAAAATTCAGCATCAGCTGTTAGTTAAGAAAAGTGGCAAACAATGGCTGCATTTCAAATCAAATGCTACAGCTGCTCATTCAAAGCACACACTGTTACATGCAGTATGCATACAACTGGGACGTACTACTTCATCATAGTATCGCAACTTAAACTTTGACCGTTGCAGTGTGTTGTGCAGCTCAAGCCTGTTTATATTTGCATGAGACACAGTGACTTAACAGCGCAGAAAATTGTGTGTCAGAATGGCCAGACAAGCATGCTGGCTTGCATTCCGCAAAATCTGACCAGATGTAGAACAACATCCTGGTATTTTTTGGCATACTTCATTTAACATACTATGTAGTGGAACGTTTCTAAGTTATGGCTACAGATCACACAAATTGTCTGGTTCCTAGCTGCTCCTTGATGAATAATTGCTGCTTTTTGGATCATTTTGAACTCAATGCATGTTTTCTATAATGTTGGTTGTGCGAAGCTAAGCATTCAAAGCTGTATCAGTGGAGCTCTGGGAAATTATGAGGGGCATTTTTTTTTCTGCTTTCTGTCATTTTTTACTTTTAAAATGGAAGTAGTAGTTAGCTCAACCATTTCAGCCTTGTCCTGAATCAACCTCGATCTGTTTTACAGAAAAGATGAGTAATCTACGGTCTGGGAGCGTAGCTCTGTTCATCTCTGAAAGGTGTCTTGGGTGGTCAGATCAGAGTTGAATCATAGTAAATACATTTGTGTCATGCCCAGAGTGAACTGAAGAGAGACAAGGATTAATATGAAGCTAAATCTATCAACTTAATGTAGTAAAGTGACACTAACTGTGTCTTCATAGCACTGAAAGCCTGCCCCGTCACACTTGAGCAGTGGGAAGACAACGGAAGAGCTCTAATGCAATATTTGCTCCAGTTTTTTAGCTGTTTCTGACTGCAGATGTACAATACGCCCACAACAGTTTTCAGTAAATGTAAAACTGATCATGTGCAGTCACTCACAATGCATTCTGAGTGCCAGATGGAAGCTCCACTCAGCTTTAAATAGATCTGGAGTCAATCTGGTTATTAGTGAAGCACAAGGTTTGAGCAAATTTCATTATCACCTCCTTTCCTTTAACGTCATCCACAGAAGGTAAGGACAGCGGGGGCCCTGGAGGGCTGTGTGGCTCCTGGTGATGCTGCTGGAGGCAGCGAGAGGGAACCGCTGCACCCCGATAACACCTGTGAGGGAGACAGTGGAGAAAAAGCTGCTAGGACGTATGACTCCATGATGTCACACAGCCACAGCACCCCGCTCAGCAGACCCTAGAGTCCCCCACCCCCTCGTTAGGTGGGCTGGGGTCACCATGGTAACGGCACACCGAGGGCGTTGACAGTGGGGTGTCGGGTTCTTAATGCCGCTGCTGCAATGATGCTTTCCGCTGCTCTGAATTGCATGTGGCACGGAGTCATGCTGTGGCTCGGGCTGACGGTTGCTGGGCCTGCGTAAGTGTGTCTCGCAAGAAAATTTCCTTCTGTCAAACCTACTTTCAGGAATCACAATCCCCAATTAACTGTGCCGCGCTGGTTTCAAAGCGTGCTGTGCTTCTCACTGCATGTGGGATGGGAATTAACTCGATCTGGGGAGCAGCCAAATGAGAAATTTCATCCTGGCTTTATTAAACCCAGGCTACTTAAAATCCGCTGCCACTTGTCATGTGGGTTTCAACAAGTAGTAGCAGCTTGGTGTGTGTGTGTGTGTGTGTGTGTGTGTGTGTTTCAGATAGATACCAGACTCAAACTGAAGATGCTGGGTTCCAAGGTTTTACTTGTGAAATATGAGATGATGATTTAGAGGTTAACACAGAGTGTATTAATATTGGCTTTGTAGCTAAGGTCGTTTTTTTACCCAACGAGGCCACTAGTGGGTCACCCAATACAACACTGATGTCACAGACTAATCTGATGTGGGCAAATATTTACACAGGTTGCCCAGGCAGTTTGGCAAACTGTGAAGTGTGTATCTAAAGTGTAGAAGGTAAACTGGTGACATCTGGTGTTTGGAAATGAGACTGCAAGTGTAGATTTTGACTTAACCCTCTGAATATCAAGCTGTTTCTGGACGTTTTCTTTTTTCCAATATAAAAGTCCTGCACCTTAATGGAAACAGTACAACCATGACTAGAAGAGAGAACTCTAAAATGTGTATAAATTTATAACATTAAAAACAAAAATAAAGGGATGAGCATTTTTTTTTTTTGTGCAAGTGCCAAGAGGTGATACAAATACTAGGGGAAAAAAATGTGACTTTTACTACTTACTTTATGAATTTTCTTCCATTCTTGTTTCCCATCAGCTCTGTGTAAACACAGCCTGCAATTTAGCCCAAGTCTGCTGAAACTCCCTAAATGTTAGTCATGTTACTGTCAGTCCCAGCTGATGCTTCATGTTTGTGCAGCGAAATGCAGAATCTTTAGGTTTTTTTAGGAATCCATTAAGAACAAGCAGTTAATTTTTGACAAATTAAATAAGAAGAGTAGAAGAAGTGATTTTGATAAAATATCACAATTGTCAGATTTGGTTGTTTTTCCTGATGGAACTGAACGTGACACGACTAGTTCAAGAGTCGTTGGAAAGTTTCTGTTTTTATGGCTTCTGGCTTTGATAAATGGTTCAATTTTGTTGATTTTTAAAAACAATAATTTGCCTTTCAAACCTGCCAGTTGGTTTTGGTATTCAAAGAGTTAATCTAACGTGTATTAATCATAGTGGGAATTTTCAGAGGGTTTCCTGCTACTGATCAGTAAATTCCTTCCAGTATCAACACAAAATGACTGTTTGTTTAGCAAACTTAATCAAGAGGTCCATGACATGTTGTTGTTCATCATTACAACTAAACAAGCAAACAAATGTGTTAAACCTTCAGAAAATAACCCTTCCCTTTGTCTCTATGTGTCAAACCTTCTCACATCTGTTCTCACAACGCATGTTTCTATTCCTTTGACTTTCTTTCCTCTGTTTTAAACTTTTCTCACGACTGTGCGTCCTCCGTCTCTCCGTAGGATCAAGAGAAGCTGTTGCCGGGCAGCGCGGCTGAGCTGACTCCACTGTCCTTTCGTCGATCCTGCAAAGGCATGAGCACGGACACCTCTCACCTCCACCTCAGCGCCGTGGACACGCTGTCGCTCCGCAGGTCCGACCCTCTTCCCCACAAACTCCTGGCCCACCTGGCTGAAGGCGGAGGGGCAGACTTGTGCTCCCTCAGCCCCTACATGCTCCGTCTCTCAGGGGCAGGATTCGCCTACTACGCTCCAGGGCCGGAGACCTCCGTGTGAACACAAACGCAGGCTCTGAAACTATGTGTACGCGAATCTTGTGGGCAAAAACACACACACACACACACACACACAAATACATCCCGAGATGTGTGACCGAGATCTGCAGCGCAATGATCGAGGAATTCGAGAACAAAACACACATCAGAAGCATGGACTCCCCATGCTGAGTTCACCATGTGCATTTCCTGGGCTACACCTGAGTGGACATCCCTTTAGATAATATTGCCCTGACTCCTCATTTTCATACTTGTCTCACTTTTTTTGTTTGTTTGTTTCAGTGTAGCCCCCCTCAGTCTTAGTCTCATCAAAGTTCCTGCTCAAACGCTTACTTGAAAAAGTCTAAGAACTTTAAAAAAAAAAGGGGAGAACCATGTGCGTTTTCTTGCACTGTGGAACTGTCCCGTTTGAACAGTCAGAATTTTGTATTCCTCTTTTTCTTTTCTAGTCTCACATTCTTGCCTGTTCCTCCACTTTCGTGTCCTTTTTTTTTTGGCTTCTTTGTAAATGTTTGTCGAAAAAAAACAACATTTATGTACAGTACGTGGTCTGGCCAAGTTAAGGGGTAGCCGTCAAAGCTCAGCCCTTTAGGTGTGCGTGCGTGTGCATGTGCGCGAGAGTACGCATGAAATTGCCTGATATTGTATGTTTGTATGTGACACACCTTTGCCTTACAGGTAACCACACAGCAGCAGGCTATGAGCCAAAGGAGAAAGGTGTTTTAAAAAAAAAAAAAGAAAAAAGAAAAAAGAAAAGTGGTGTTTTACTAAGCCTTACATATACACACCCATCAGCTAAAGGAGGGAGACAAATCTGAAGAGGGATGTGCAGTATTTTAGCCACCCTGCCTTAATTCATAGATTTTTCAGTGGAATATATTTCTAGGTCAATTTAAACACATTTGTGAGAGTACAAGGAGGTTTAGAGGGCATATATGTCTGGTACAGTGTGTCTATTATTCCTCTTTCTACTTTCTTTTACCCTCACGATCGTGTCGAGCTTTGTTTCCCTTATCTGTCAGTGTAGCATGTCGGATCTCCCTCTCTCTCTCTCTCTCTCTCTCTCTGCATGCTGATCTATTCTTCTCTCCGTTGTACCTCATCCTCCTTTGTCCCAGACATCATCTATCACGAAACATATCATGGCACTTTTTTTTTTTTTCCCTTCTGAACAGTGAGCACCATGTACCCTTCTCCTGCCACCATGTGGCCACGTAGGGTAAGAATACCAACAGCAGCAACAGCAGCAGCAAAACCTGGGACTGATGAGGTTTTTTTTTTTTAATTTATTGATGTCCTAAATGACTTGCTACTCCTCACTGTTGCATCGTGCTTGCGTGTTTTGCTGCCATGCTCTGTGTTATGCAAAAAGTTGATGTAAGAATGCTCGTGTCACGTTATTAAGGGGTTTTCTTCTGTGTTGCATTAATCCATGAGGTTTTTTTTCTTTTTCTCTCTACTGTTCTAAAAATGATTGATGTCAGTCACTGTTGATGTATGGATGTAACTTAAACAAAATGTTGCTATATATTGTAGTGAGAAGGGGCGTTAGAGTTAGCTGTAGTTTGCTGTAAGTAGGAGGGAGACTTGAATCGGCGATGTCACAATCAAATCAATGAGAATGTTGAACTGATTTGTCCATCATGTCCTCCAGCCGAAGATTGTAGCTCATTATGGATGAACCTCTTTTCTGCATTTCTAACATCCGAAAGTCGTCTTGTTTTTTTTTTCCAAAGCATATGTGTCGGGTTACATAGCGAAGTGACTGACTCTGGAAGTCTTTTGAATGTGAGATTCTGAAGCATTTTTGTATGTTTATACAGTTTATTTTCATACACGTCACCATCTGCCAACATGTATAGATTTAAAAGCAGGTGTTCAGTATTTTTATTTTTTATTTTTTACCGGGGCACAGATGATTTATCTTATCCGATGGGAGGTCTGGATTTATCCCTTTTAGTTTTCACTCAAAAGCCCACAAGCCTCTGCAAGTGTTTGAACACAGGGGGGGCTTCAACATCCTGACCTCAGTCGTTTTCAAGGAAAGACCTTGGTGCTTGTAACGCAGTGTCCCACCTCACTGTGCTGTTGCCATACTGTATCCAGGCATTTTCTACATGTCACGATCCTACTACAATAATGCTGTAAGGTCTATTTAACTTTCATGATGTGATCGGGGGAATTCTTTGTAGTCATTCTTCAAACACATCTTTTTTTTTTTTCTTTTTATAGTAGTCCTTCACAGCTCAAATTTTCACGACTTTTTTGTCATTTTTTTTGTGTTGTCCATTGTGAATATTTCTTTTGCTACTTTTGTATTTCAGAGAGAAGACTATATTTTAACTGTTAGAATGTGTGTTCAAGTTTGTAACCAAAATGAGAGCAAAATATACATTATATGATTCATTAGAGATTTACCAATAGTACTACACACTGCACTTTGTTTTACAACAGATCAGTTTTACCCTAAAAACAAGGTCTATTGTCTGTCAACTGAGGTTTATAGATCACTCTTCCTCACAAGTTATTTTTCTAAGAAGATTGTAGTGGGTGAGAATACATTTAAAAAAAAAGAAAAAAAAAAAAAAAAGAAGTGACCAAATAACTTGACTAGGAATGAACTGTCTGTAGGTGTCAGCCTCTGTCTCAATGGGTTTATCACACCAGCCTTCTACTGCTGATCAGAATGTCAAACTGCTTTTTCTAAGTCCATCAGCACAACAGCAGGTGCTCATCCTGTCACTCCTGAGCTTGGCAAAGGTCTGAAATGTCGACTTCTGTGCTCCGAGCAGCACGCTTCATATCATAACTTTAGTATGCCACTGTTTACTAAACAGGTTTTGAGAAGTTCCTCTCTTTGTTTTTCTTTTTGGATAAAGATTTTAAAAGTTCACTTGTTGACTTTTTGCCAGCCTGTCTGTAGCAAATGAGGGCAAAGCACTGTACTGTCATTCTGCTTGTAATAAAGAAAGAGTGAAATCACTGGTTCTCTGTCAATGATGCATTTTATTGTCACGGTGAAAGTCTCCCCCGTGACTTTATCATTTTAATTTCACTGTTTGTGCTTCTTGTGCCAACCTGTCCTGTCATTTCAGACCCTGTCATTCACAGTCCGTCCACCAGGAGGCCTTAGTCCATCATCCACCAGGTGAACCCCACCCAACAGTTGGCAAACCTGTCCTTTAATCCCCACTCCTCCGCTTTCCTTACCTGCAAAAACATGTCTTTTGCCATAATTTTTCTTAATATCTTTCTCAATCCATAACATTGTAAGACTTGTACTGGTCAGTTTGAAATGCAGCAGGAGGGATATTCAATTTTTTTATTCCTAATGTTGTTCCTTTTCAAAATGGTGCCTACATTACCCACAATGCAACTCAGCCACCAGCAGTTCCTCTAGATTTATTCAAGAAGCAACATCCATGGCAGCAAGAAATGTAGATCAAAATTCAAGCAAACTCAAGGGACAGACTGCAGAGTTCAGGTAAACTCACCTCTCTAATTCTTTACCTCCACATTATTTCATGCTCAAATGTAGTTTAGCTCAAGTGGCATCTACAGAGTTGATTTATTTAGCTTTTGCACATGTTCCTCAGGTGCCACAGAATAGGTGAAGTCCCATCTAAATCTCTGGAGCTATTATGCTTTTTTGACATGTCAGAGTAGAAAAAACACAGCTGTGAGATGGCTGAATACCATTTAGCTGTTTTAGTTTCAAGGTGTTGGTTCTGATACAGACAACCAGGGTCTTATAGGTTTGCACATCCAGGGTACTTTGTGCACTCAAACATGTCCTCATCATTTAGTGACACAACCAAGTATTCTGTCTTTAATGTTTGCAACCAGTGGTTACTTCCAGCAAATGATGTCCAACCTGGGCTGTTAATCAAGTAGCAACAACCATCACTAAACTCTACTGGTGTCCCAATGGTGAGATTGTCTTTCCAGGCATCAGCAGAGAACCTGTACTGGCACTTGTCCAAACCTGCAGCATCCAGTTTGCATTGACAAGGCTTCCTGGAATCAGATCCAGTGTGTTAATGTAATTATAGAACATTCCTGACAACCACAAAGACCGAAGCAAATCTGAAACATCAATTATCCAATATCAAATGCATCTGCAAGTAGACAGAGTTTATTGACAGATGACAGTTTGACAGCTTGTACAAATGGTTTTGTTTACTCCAAGATGATGTTTAGGTTAAGTTTCTAATCCAAAGCTGACATTGCTTCACGTTAATAGTAATGCATGTTAGTTCACTGTCATGGCTTTCTGGGCACTTTAATGTAAAAGAGTAATTTTAATTTTATTCGTAACTTAAGTTTGACCAATTATTGACCTGACAGATGAAATAATCTGCAATTCCCCAATACTTTTTTTTTTATTTACAGCCCAGCGCCACTGAAGGATAAAAGTTGAAGGGTTCTCAGTTATCAGTCCCTTTGATCAGTAATGATCTTTTCTGCATTGGTACTGAAAAAACATCCTATTAGTTGACCCCTATTAGTAACATCTATACTTTTCTGTCATGAGAAGTCAAAAGGCTTGCGATAAAAAAATGTTGACTGTACCCCAGCAATCCTAAAGCATCCTTTTTGATGACACTTGTCGCTATAGCAACTTCCAGTAAATGGGTTAAAACAGAGACGAAGACAGGTGAGTTCGCAGAGTTAGCACGAGTTGTTGGATGTCGTGTGAAAAAGAGGATTTTCACCTACAGTGAAAGATGGACAGCCAACATAGAGAAAAGAAACCACAAGGTTTTCAAATCATCCACTGCCCTGTAGATCAATGAGTAAGTAGGTGGAGTGAATGAAGAAGAGGTTGTGGAAAAAATTAGGAAGATTGAATTCCAGCAAGCAACATCCTGGGTTAGCTGCAGAAGTGTAATGGCAGGTACAGGAGTTCCATCAAGGATGTAGTTGCAGTGGCCCACACTGAATGAAGACCAGCTTAATTTCATTGCTTCAATTGGAAACAAACAATTGAATTAAAAGAGCAATTAATATGAAGGCCACTGGTT